AGCCTCTCCCTCCTCCCTGGCCCCAGAATAATTGCTCCCCAGGTGCTGTGGGCAGATCTGGGCGTGCCTGCAGGTGGCCCGTATGCGCCCTGCTGTCCAATTAGCCAGCCCTCCTGGATGCCACCCCCACCCCCGCCGGGGCCCCACAGCCTGTTGGCACCCAGGGACCAGCCAGGCTCTCGACAAACAAGTGGGATGTGGATGGTATGGGGTGACAGTCACTGAAGTCACCTCTTTTTTGGGCCCAAGCTGTAGACCTAGTAATGGACCTCTGAGAACCAAGCCTTTGGAGGAGCAAGAGGTGGGCCCAGCCTGGAGGGCTTTGGGCTGGAATCTAAACCCAAACAGCCCTAGCTGCTTTTATTCTTTTTTAATTATTTTACAATACTAGGCTTAAACCCAGAGCCTTCACCCTGAGCTGTGCCTCCAGCTCTTTTTTGTATTTTGAGACAGGATCTTGCTATGTTACTAAGTTACCCAGGCAGGGCTTAACAATGTGATCCTCCTGCCTCAGCCTCCCAGAGTGCTGGGATGACAGGCTTGTGCTACCAGGCCCGGCTCAGCCACTAGCTTGTTCTTGTAAGCCAAGTAACGCCGGTGCTGGTCACCTCCTTGGGTGCTCACCTCTTCGGTGGCTCCGTGGAGCAGTCATGGCAGACGCAGCACCCACAGCAGTGGCGGTGTTTACCAAGCCCTTGTAGGAGCCTTTCCCATCCCAGTTACAAAGGGTTTATTTTATGGTGGGCGTCAAGCCTCCATCTCTGTCCACCCTGCAGAAGTAGTCGCCGTGCCTGCCTGTGCCCTCTTCCCCGCCAGGTCTCATTCCGTGTCTGGGCTTCTGCAGCCACAGACTCCAGCACTCCACCAGCTGGGGTGAAGTATTCCTCCTCAGAATCGAGTCTGACTCCTTCCTGTCGCTGTCCTTAAGCTGCACAGTAGAACAGCCATATGCTGTGCATGGACATGGCACAGGTATCAGGTGTCACCTGGGGCTGGGTGGCTTAACGCATGTATGATGGTGTGTGCACAGTCCCCTTTGATGTCAGGGACTTGGGCACCTGCAGATTATGGTGCCTGAGGGGTCCTGGGATCAGTCTCCACTGGGACCCAGGGTGAGGGGAACTGGTACAAGCATGCACCCGCACACCTTCCCAGGCAGTAGGAGCGTAAGGGGTGCAGAGCACAGCACTTGTGTTTTCCACTTGACTGGAACCCCTGGAGACCCATGGCCCCCAGCTCCCCAAAGGGGTCGGGGTTTTTGTTTCTTTCCCAGAGCCTTTGCTCAGCAAGCAGTCAGCACTGAGCCACACCCCACTACTTTGAGACGTAGTGTCCCTAAATTTTCCAAGGTGCCCTTGAAACTGGGATTCTCTGAGAAACCACTTTGAAGATACCAATATGTAACACAACAAGCATGGTTAATTTCCTACCACTTTGTTTGTAACTCTGTATTGTCTGTACTGTTCTTTTGCTATTTTGTAAAAGGTTGTCTGTTAATGTTGTCCTCCTTTTATTTTTAAAAGAAAAAAAAAAAGAAAAAAGAAACTGGGATTCTCCTGCCTCAGCCTCCTGAGTAGCTGGGGTGATAGGTGTGTGCCACCTCACCAAGCTCAGCATAATGTTTTTAGGTTGTGTCTGTATCGTGTGACTCTGTCACGCCTGTTCTGCCATTGGAGGGCACTTGGGTTGTTTCCAGCTTACGGCTGTTGGGATGAATAAACATCCTGTGGCAGGCCTTTTTTTTTTTTTTTTTTTTAAAAAAAAAAAAAAAGAAGGCTCTTACTGTGTGACCCAGGCTGATCTCTAACTCTCACTCCTCCAGCTTCAACCTTTTTTTTTTTTTTCCAAGCACTGGGAATCTAATTTATGACCTTGCGCTTGCCAGGCAGGTGCTGTCCGATGAGCTACATCCCTGGCCCCAGCTTCATCCTCTTGAGGGCTGGGGATTACAGGTGTGTGCTGCATGCTTGGTGTACAGGCTTTGTGTACTGATGTTTCTGTTTATTTAGGGAATAAACGCCTAGCAGTAGAATTGGCAAGCTAGAGTGGAGCATCGTTGGATTTTACAAGGCCATTTGCCGAAGTGGTTACAACATTCATAAGCCTCACCACTAGCAGCTGCCACTTGCTCTGTAACTTCATCAGCACTTGCAGTTGTTATTCATTTGATTTCAGTCATTTAGGCCGGGCGTGGTGGTGCACACCTATAACCTCAACATTCAGGAGGCTGAGGCAGGAGCATCGTTGCCTGGGCTACAAAGTGAGCTCCAGGCCAGGCTGAACTGCATAGTGAGACCCTGTCTCAAAGGAAAAAAAAAAAAGTAATAATAATTTTAGTCATTCTAGTGGCTGTAGAGAGGTTTCCACATTCAACCTTGAGCCACAGTAGTGTACACCTGTCCTTCCAGGTACTTGGGAGGCTGAGGCACGAGGATATCAAGTTCTAGGTCAGCCTGGGCAATTTAATGAGACCCTGTTTCAAAATTAAAAAATAAAAAAGGGCTGAGGATGTTTCCCAGCACAATCTGGGTTCAGTCCCTGGTATCAAACAAAACAGCAGAAAGAAAAACAAATTTGTATTCCTGGACAAATCCCAGGGATCTGGGATGTTTGCTCCCTTTTTTGTTTTGTTTTGTTTTTGAGATAGGGTCTTGCTGTGTAGTTCAGGCTGACCTTGAACTCAATGTGTAGCTCAGGCTTGCCTCAAATTGGAGGCAATCCTCCTGCCTCAGCCTCCTGAGTGTTGAGGTTATAGGTGTGCACCACCATGCCTGGCATTTGCTCCCCCTGTGTTTTTGTTTTATTGGTCTTGTTGAGACAGGGTTTTGCTATTCAGTTCAGGCTGGTTTGAACCCACTTTGTAGCCCAGGCTGGCCTCGAACTTGAAGCAGTCCTCCTGCCTCAATCTCCTGAGTGCTGGGATTACAAGCGTGCCCCACCATACCTGGCCTTGCTTCCATTTTGTCAAAGTTTCTTTATGTCTCTGTTCATGAGCAATATGTATTAGTAATTTTCTTTTCTTTTGGTACTAGAGGTTGAACTTGAGGCCTCTGCACTGAGCTCCATCCCCAACTCTTTTTTATTTTGACAACAAGGTCTCCCTGGCCGGGCATGGTGGTGCACACCTGTAATCCCAGCACTCGGGAGGCTGAGGCAGGAGGATCACTGTGAGTTCAAGACCAGCCTGGGCTCCAAAGTGAGCTCAAGGCCAGCCTGAACTGCATAGTAAGACCCTGTCTCAAAAAAAAGACAAAAAAAAACAAAAAACAGAAGGTCTCCCTAAGTTGCCCAGGTTGGGCTTGAACTTGTGATCTTCCTGCCTGAGCCTCCCGCAGTGCTGTGATGACGTGCTGTGGTACCATGCCTGATCTAATTTTTTTCCTGATGCATTTCTTCAGGTTTTGGTATCAGTTATGCTCACTTCATAAAGTAGATTGGGAAATGTTCTTTCCTTGTGTTTCTGAAAGAGTTTGGGTAAAGATTTGTTCCCTGTTTGCCTGGAATTCGCCAGTCTGGACCTGCAGCTTTCTGTGTGGAAAGGTTTTAATTTTGAATTTGGTTGCTTTAATAGGTGAAAAGGTTTTCCAGACAGGCCTTGAACTCACCTATGTAGCCCAGGCTGGCCTTATACTCACAGTCATCCTCCTGCCTCAGCCTTTCAAGTGCTGGGGTTATAGGCGTGTGCCACCACGCCCGCTACTTTGTCTTTAATTTGCGCTTCTTTTTCCACCTTCTCAGGGAGAAAACCTTGATCATTCGTCTGGAAACCTTTCATTTATTTATTTATTTTATACAAGGTCTCAGTTTGTATTGTGAGTTGGCCTTGAAATTGTGGGGATCCTGCTTCAACTGCCCAAGTACTGAGATTACAGGCATGTACCACCATGCTTAGCTTTTTTTTTTTTTACTTGAAGCATTGGAAGTACAGTATAATTTTCCCTTTGGCCTGATCACACAGGTGTTAGGAAATTGGTGTTTCTTATTGGCTTCAAAGCATCCCTATCCTTGGCTGGGTGTGGTGGTGCACGCCTATAATCCCAGCACTTGGAAAGTTTATAAATTTTTTATTTTTGGTCTTTTTGAGACAGGGTCTCGCTATGCAGTTCAGGCTGGCTCTGAGCTCACTTTGTAGCCCAGGCTGGTCTCAAACTTGCAGTGATCCTCCTGTCTCAGCCTCCCCAGTGCTGGGATTACAGGTGTGTGCTACCACGCCTGGCTTCCACTTGGAAAGTTGAGGCAGGAAGATCTCCACAAATTTGAGGCCTGCCTGGGCCTGCCTGGCCTGTAGTTCCAGGCCACCCTGAACTACATGGTGACACCCTGTCTCAAAACAGCCAAAAAGGATTGAGGGTATAGCTCAGTGGGACAAGCGCCTGCCTGGCAAGCACAAAGTCCTAAGTTTGATTCCCGGTACAAAAAAAAAAAACAACCAAGAAAAGAAAAACAAAAAAGAAAAGCATTTCCATCTTGTAATGGGGCAGGAAGAACCCAGGCGGGTAATCATCATGTTCCCATCCCTCTGAGAAATCTCTGCCGACCTCCACTTCCAGTGGGCTCCTTGTGCTGTCTGCACCCAGTAGGTACTTTGTGGTTATGAATGAGGCCGTGTGTGCAGTGTGAGCCAGCCTCCCTCGCTCTTGCTTCTGTGGCCCTGGACGCACTTCCTCAGTCCCCTCCTCTGGCCTGAGAGCCCAAGGCAGCGCTGGCTGAAGTGGCTGGTGGAGGGACGGCCGGCGCCGGCACCTGTGCCGCCCGAGGGAGAAGGAGTGGGAGCGGGAGCTTCTCTCTTCCCCCTTTCTGCACAGCCTTGATCCGCGGGGGCCCTCAGTGGGCGGTAGCAGGCAAGACTGTGGCCCCAGAGTCACAGGCTGTGGAGAGTGGCCCCAGAGGAGAGGTCACCCTGGGCAGCCCTGTGTCCATCCACCGCCTGTCCCGGGCCAAGGAGGGGCTGGCGGGCGCTGGCCAGGAAGCAGAGCAGCTCTGACCCCGTCTGCTCTCAGTCCCACAGAATAATGAGAAGCTGCAGGAGAGCCCCTGCATCTTCGCGCTGACGCCCAGGCAGGTGGAGCTGATCCGGAACTCCAGGTGTGACCCCCCGCCCCGCCCCACGGCAGCTGCTCCCGCACCTGGGGTGGGCGGTGCCCCTTTCCTGCGTGGGCCAGGATGACTGGCACCTTCCCAGTACCGGGTTGGGGGCAGTCGGGTCCCCTGGTTGCCCTGGCTGATGGTCACTGTGCTGGCTGCCTGCCTCCCTGACCGCTCTTCTCCCTCCACAGAGAGCTGCAGCCTGGAGTCAAGGCCGTGCAGGTCGTCCTAAGGTAGGCCAGGTGTGCCTGCACCCCAGGGCGCACCCTTGTCACCCTGTCCTGGTGATACAACTTTCCCTCCCCGCGCCATACACATGGCAGCTGCCTCCTGCTCTCTGCCGTCGGGGACACAGACACTGGCCCCCGTGTATCGCCCAGCCCTTCGTCCCGACCCTGTACTCAGCCTTGTCCCTGGGATTTGGGACAGTTTCCTCCCTCCCCTCTTCCCCAAAGCAGCCCCATGGTCCCCGCTGTCTTTGCAGAATCTGTTACTCAGACACCAGCTGTCCTCAGGAGGACCAGTACCCACCCAACATCGCCGTCAAAGTCAACCACAGCTACTGCTCAGTCCCGGTGAGGACCCTCGCGCCTGGGCACCAGGGTGGGGGTGGGGGCGTGAAGAAGGGGCGGGGCAGAGTGAGGGGCGGGGCTCGCGCGAGGAGGCCTCAGGCTGAGCTGCTGGTCTGCACGCAGGGGTACTACCCCTCCAACAAGCCCGGAGTGGAGCCCAAGAGGCCCTGCCGCCCCATCAACCTCACCCACCTCATGTACCTGTCCTCTGCCACCAACCGCATCACCGTCACCTGGGGGAACTACGGCAAGGTGAGTGTACCGCAAAGCCCCCGATGCCCTGCCCACCCCGACACTCCACCCCTGCTGACACCCTGGCTCCTGCAGAGCTATTCGGCCGCCCTCTACCTGGTGCGGCAGCTGACCTCAGCAGAGCTGCTACAGAGGCTGGAAACCATCGGCGTGAAGCACCCGGAGCTGTGCAAGGCACTAGGTGAGCACGCAGCCAGGGTGGGTGCCAAGGGGACCAGACCCAGTGCTTGTTGGCCTTTCTGCCAGTGGCACCTGGTGGAGCGAGGGTGGACGGGGTGCCGGTGGGAGATAGAAGAACAAGGGTCCGGCAGGTTTTTATCTGTTGTGTGCTTGTGCCGAGTAGAGCACTTGAAAAACCAGCCGGGCATGGTGGCGCATGCCTGTGATCCCAGCACTCGGGAGGCTGAGGCAGGAGGGTCACGGAGAGTTCGAGACCAGCCTGAGCTACAAAGTGAGCTCAAGGCCAGCCTGAACTTTCTTAGCGAGACCCTGTCTCAAAAGGACAAAAACAAACAAAAAACTAAAAGCTGCAGGACGTGGCACCCGGTGGCACACACCCATAATCCCTGTTCTTGGGAGGCAGGAGGTTTACCGCAAGTTCAAGGCCAACCTGAGCTACATATTGAGACCCTGTCTCAAAACAAAGATAGAAAGTGGCCCACCGCAGGTAGGGGAGGCCTTCCCAGGGACTTGTGGGCCTCACAGCTGCCCAGATCTCCTTAAATTCCGTGGCTGCGGCGTCTTCCTGATAGGGGCCTGTCATGCTCTGGGCCTGCAGATTTCTTCGGGAGCAGCCCAAATCCATGGGGACATGTGGCAGAAGCCATGTCCCCGCTGGGGTACAGGTCTGTGCCATGGGGGAGCCCATGGTGTGGTGTTGCCCCAGCAGCAGAAGAGGCTGTGGTCAGTTTGAGGCAGGGTAGCTCAGCTGAGGACCTCGTGAGTCCTTGGGACAATGCCTCAGTGGCAGAAGCAACAAGGTCACACAGCGCGCGCCATGGGTGGCCCCATTCTGTGCATCCTTCCTGGAAATGCCTGTAGGGTCAGCAGAGGCCTGGCAGGCAGGGTGCCTGCTTCCCGGGCGCCTCCGGCCCTGAGCTGTGCAGCTGGACCGCGGCCTTCCTGTCAGGGATGCTCCTCTTCTGCGGGGGAAGGGATGCTGAGCCCCAGCTGCACAGTACCTTCCGCTCTGACGCCACCCCGTCCCCTCCCCACAGTCAAGGAGAAGCTGCGTCTGGACCCCGACAGCGAGATTGCCACCACCGGCGTGCGGGTCTCCCTCATCTGCCCGGTGAGTAGTGTAACGGGTCCCCTCCTGTCTCTCCCCCAGAGCCGTGTGGCCTGTGACTCCTCCGTCGTGAGGGGCGGCTGTTTCCATGCATAGGAGCCCTGGAGGGCAGGGCTGGCCTTGGTGTTGTCCCCTTGGTGTCCCGTCGCAGTAGGTGAAGAGGATAACACAACAGGACAGACTGGGGACAGCACTGGCCTTGGTGGCCTGGACTTACTCTTCTCCCTGCGCCCACAGCTGGTGAAGATGCGGCTCTCAGTGCCCTGCCGCGCGGAGACCTGCGCACACCTGCAGTGCTTCGACGCTGTGTTCTACCTGCAGATGAACGAGAAGAAGCCCACCTGGATGTGCCCGGTGTGTGACAAGCCAGCCCCCTACGACCAGCTCATTATCGACGGGTGAGTCTCGAGGTTGCGGCCTTCATTTGTATGTGAGGCTGAGGCCGCACAGCCTTAGCAGCCTTGGTGGCCCTAAAGGCTGGTTCCTCCCTGAAGAACTTGTCAGAGCCTTTGCCCTGCTGGCCGCAACAGCCCCGTAGCCGGGGCCTCGGACCGTCATGGTGCCTCTGTGACCTGGAGCTTGCAGACTCGGGTCCTTCCCGAATAGGACAGGGGCCCAAGCGCTCCCTGTGACGCCGTTCTGCCCTTTCTTGTAGGAGGGTGGAAAGAGGCGTCTCGCCCAGCTTGTGGATTCCTTCTCGAGTGGCTCTAGCTGTGGGTGCCTTGTGCAGCCTCTCGTGCTGCAGAGGGTGGGGCAGGTCCTTGCTCCCCAAAAGAGAAACCGCCCTGGTTTTAGGTTTCAGGAAACCGAGCCCCGTTGTCTGCATCCACTAACCAGGCTCCTGCCAGGCCCTGACCACACCCCGCCCATCCCCAGAGCTGCTCTAGGCAGGGTGCAGGGCTGCCGTCTCAGCTTTCTTGAGGCGCCGCACACCTGGGACCCAGGGCCGGTCTCACCGTGGGATGTGCTTTATTCCCCAGATGGACCCCTTTTCAGGCGCTTGTCCCTGTCACAGGACCCGGCCCTGGGTTCTCATTTGCAGAGACAGGCGCGTGCCCAACACTGAGCTGTGCTTCTCAGCCTCTCCCACCTTACTGAGGAGACTGAGACCTAGCACAGCCTGGCGACGCGAGCCCAGGGCCGGCCAGCACTGAGCCCCGGGCCTCCCTGGAGGGCCCCAGCCGCTGCCCCCGTGGTCCAGGGTGGGGAGGAACGAGGGCCCCGGGACTGGGCACGTGGGCTGGGCCTGAATGGGTGCTCTGTTCCCAGCCTGGCAGCTGCGCCCCCAGCTACCTTCCCCTCCAGCCGGGAGCAGTGGCTCAGGCCCTAGGCGGCGGCAGCAGCAGCAGCTCTGACAGCCCCAGGCCTCTAGGTCCAGGGCAGGTGGTTGTGCCCCTCTCCAGCCCTGGCCTCCATTACCCAGGGCCCTGGTGCAGCCCAGGAGACGGCCTGAGGGAGGATCCTGGGCTCAGGCGTTGCCGCATGGGCTCCACCACCCGTCACGGCCCAAGCTGGGTGAATCCCCACGTCCGCCTTGTAGCCCAGCCCTGCGCTCAGGGAGCTCTCCACGGGCTGTGACACTGGAGCCGGGTAGGCCGGCCTTGTGACTTCAGGAGTGTGGGTCCCCGTCTGGTCCTCTGTTTCCCCATGTGCAGACAGGGTGTGGCCAAGGGTGGGGTCCCAGGGACTGCGGTCTCGGGGTGAGGGAGGCACAGGTCCTCACACAGGAGGGCGGCCTCAGAGCAGAGCGGTGCACACTAACCTGCGGGGACACAGCCCTGTCAGCCCCCTGCCTGCCTTGCCCCAGGCTCCTGTCCAAGATCCTGAGCGAGTGCGAGGACGCCGATGAGATCGAGTTCCTGGCTGACGGCTCGTGGTGCCCCCTCCGTGCAGAGAAGGAGCGGAGCTGCAGCCCGCAGGGCCCCATCCTAGTGCTCGGTGAGTCCCCTGGACCCATCACCCCGTGTCCTGCTTCTGGGCAGTTTTTTGTTTCGTTTTTTAAGAGTGGAGATTGAACCCAGGGCCTTTGTATTGAGCGATATCCCCAGCCCTTTTTAATTTTTTGTTGTGTGACAGGGTCCCGCTAAGTCTCTTTTAAATTGCTCAGACTAGGCTTTAACTTGGGATCCTCCTGCTTCTGCCTCTCAGAGTGCTGGGATGTCAGGAGCGTTGCCGCCGTACACACCTTTGTTGGGAGTTTTTACGCAAAGCCACTGTTGGGTAGCACTGATTTCTAGGCGCCAGGAAGCCAGGTTCAGTTCCTGCTCTTCGTCGGCAGCATCTTGAACACCTGTGTCCCCTTCCCTGTTGCCTGCAGGCACCTCGGACACCAACGGGCTGGTGCCCACCCCCAGCGTCAACAGCGGTGGCGGTGGCACGGCACTGGGTGGCACAGGAGGCGGGGCGGGCCCGGTGGGCAGTGTGGAGAACGGGAAGCCGGGTGCCGACGTGGTGGACCTCACGCTGGATAGCTCGTCATCCGAAGAGGAGGAGGATGAAGAGGACGAGGAGGACGAGGAGGAGGATGAAGAGGGCCCCCGGCCCAAGCGCCGCTGCCCTTTGCCCAAGGGCCTGGTGCCGGCCTGCTGACCTGGCCGCGGCCACCGCCGCCAGACACAGCTTTCCTGGTGCTCAGTGAGGAGGGCGGCGGCCGGGCGCCAGGGGAGGGACTTGGCTTTTCTTCTCGTTGTCCGTTTATTTCTGCACCCCTGTCCCTGGCTCCTGCCTCTGGACCTCTGGACTCTCCTCTCGAGGGGATTAAAAAACAGTAAAATGACAAAAAAAAAAGGAAAAAAAAAAACCACGAAACAAAAAAACAAAGATTTAAACTCTTAAAAAAACAAGGCAAGCTGCGGGCACCGCAGCTGCCCCCCGGACAGCCTGGGCTTCCCCAGACAGCTGAGCCCAGGCAGGGCGGCAGGCAGGGCCTGGGAGGCACCCCTGTCCCTCCCCACGAGCATTCCAGCCGACGTCCAGGGACCCGGTGGGGACGGGCCAGCTCCCCAGAAACCGCCCTGCCTCTGCGGGCATCTGTTTCCCTTGCTCCTCTCCGCATTTTAGCTAAGAAGCCATGGCGTGGGTTGGGGGAGGGGCCGGGGAGGGGCTCGCCACAGACATGTATTTTTTGAAAGTGCAATAACTTGGTATTTTGAAGACCCGGCGGCGGCCAGGACCTCCCCGGGGGAGGCAGGGGCCCCAAGTGCGGCACTGTGTGGTGTGTGGGGGTCTCCGTTTCCTAAGCCAGCTACCTCGGTAACTCCAATTCAGGTTAACTCCCTAGGAACAGCACGGATGTCCACACCGGCCCCCTGCCATCGGGGTCCCCAGGGCCCGCAGGATTTCGGGTGGTTCCCCCTCCCTTCTTCTCGCTCTTGGGTTTTTCCACGGGTACGAGGCTTCGCCTGGCGCCTCCTCCCCCCAGCCTTGATCTTCCAACAGGACAGGTGGGGGCAGCCTCCAGCCCGCCTGTCCTGCTCCTGGCACCAAACCAGCCAGGCCCAGGAGGCTCTGGGGCCCCTGCCAGCTCTCCCAGGTCCTGGGCCTCAGGGGTGTCCCAGGAGACAGTGAGGGCAGGTGGGGTATCCTCGACCCCTTGGCCTGGCCCTTCTGTTGTGCTTTTCCCGCCCCGCCCACCCACCCCCCGGTTCCCGGTCTGAGCAGAACTGTCCTAATCAGGAAGCAATATCACTTCAGGTCTAGAGGAGGGGACTGTGGTCTGGATGAGGGCACATTCAGTCTTAACTGTATGAACTCCGCTGCAGCTGGCCACCCGCCTGCACAGGCAGCGAGGGCCGCTCTTTTCTAATATTTGTATTCTAATTTAATTGTTTTTTAAAAATGCAAATAAAAAAGGTCAACATAAAGCCACAGAGGCATCTGTTTTGTGTCCTGTTTATTTGGGGTATTTTTGGGGGGGGGAGTATCAGGAATCGAACTCATGACCTTGCGCTTGCTAGGCAGGCACTGTCAGCTGAGCTACGTCCCCAGCTGGTATTTTTTTAGTTTTTTTGTTTTGAGACAGTCTTGCTTTGTAGTTCAGGCTGATCTTAAACTCTGCCCACAACTTGCAGTGATCCTCCTGCCTCAGCCTCCTTTTTTTTGGCATGGGGGGTTCTTTTTGAGATGGGGTATCTCTATGCATGGGGGTATCTCTTTAGGCTGGCCTTGAGCTCACTTTGTAGCCCAGGCTGACCTTGAACTGCCTCAGCCTCCCGAGTGCTGGGATTATAGGTGTCTTCTGTGCCCTTCTTGCCTTAACATGTGTCACATGGCTCCCACAGCAAGGAGGGGACCAAGGAGAAGTTGAGGGCCCCTCCCCGGAGTTGCCCAGCGCTTTGTTCCGTGAGGGACCTGTCACTTTCACCCTCTGGGTCTAAGCGGTGTCTCTGCTAGGGGAAGGGGGTGGGGTGAGGGCTGAGTGAGGTGGTTTGGGTCTGACAGGATTCAGAACCCCCTCTAAATTCCAAGGTTTTCCCTGTCCACCTGAATGGACAAGTAGCCTACCAGGACACACACTGGTGATCAGTACTGGCAGAAAGGAATCCAAGAGATGCTACTCGACACCTACAGGATGCTGGGATCAGAGCGCTCAGCCGGGATGCAGGTGGGAACAGCCGCTGGTGGGAACCAGAGTTTGGCACTGCAGCTGGAGGCTCAGTGGCAGGCGCTCACCTCACACATAGAGGCTGGGGCTCCCAACCCAGCACCGAAGGAAAAAACTCAACCCTGGGCCCGCAGTGACTCAGCAGTTGCACCACTAGGCACAGGGCCAAGGCAGGCGCATGCGTGTGCACATCGAGGCTTGTACATGGACAGCAGCAGCAACCCAGGCATGGGAACAAACCCACCCTTGCGTGGCCAGGTCATCCCCACACCAGAACGTCACTGAGTGGGGCTGTGACAACACAGCGTGGATGGACCTGAGAACGCCGTGCTCAGTGGGAGACACCGGACAGAAAGACACACAGCATGGACTCGATGTGCAGGAAACGCCCAGGACAGGCAAATCCAGAGACAGGAAGTTGCCTGGGTTTGGGGTGACCGATCACAGGGATGGATGGGCTTCCTTTGGAGTGATAAATGTTCTGGAATTCCACTGAGGTGAGGGTCACACACTTCTCTTGAATATATGAGCCCACTGCATATGGGGTTTTAGATCTTGATGAAATTAAATGTAGCTGGGGTAAGGAGGCCCAGGGGGCCTGAGCCACTGCCTGCTGACGCTACTTCCTTCCGGTCTCCTGGTCCAGAGGCCCTGGGCCCCCTGGGCTCTCACCACATGGGCTCTGGGCCCCAGCCTGTGTTCCAGGATGGTCAACCCCAGGTGATTGTACATATGCAAGTGACTTGGCCTTTCTGAGCCAGGACAGCTGTCACAGGGTCCACGTGACGGGAGGTACTGGGACTGGGTGGTGGCTCCAGACCCTGTGGATTCCCTGTGCCTCCTAGGAAAAGCTTGACGTGCTGAAGGCCTCCCCAGCCGTGCTGCCTGTGCAGAGGACACTGGTGTGTGGGTGGGAGGGGAAGGGCTCCTGTAGATAGCTGTTAGGTGCCTTTCACCCACAGGTGGGGTTACAGCTTGAGCCCCATTCCCAGTGAGGGCCAGGAAGCTGTCCCCAGCCAGCTAAACCTTCCGTCCGGCTCTGTACCTGGCAGCCAGTAGAGCCAAGCTGGAGGTGCCCAGGGACCCCGCCCAGCAGGTTCTTCCTGCTCACCTGCCCCTCCTGTTCTCAGGCACCTTCCAGGCCCCACAGGCCCACATCCACCCACCCAAGGCTATATATAGTTCGCCTTCCCAGCTGGGGCCTCCCATCTTATAGGCTCCCCAGATACCCCAACCGCACCACAATCATTAGCCACTTGGCCCATTGTCCATGGTCCAGGTGGGAAAGGCCGGGCAGGGGGTCTGAGCAAACCAAACTCAGGCCAGCCTGCACCCCCACAAGCCCCAGATAAGGATCTAGAATCGGCACCACAGACCCTCCCTCCCTGCTACCCCCTGCCCCCCAAGAAAACACAAAAACATCAAAATCAAGCAAGGAGGCAGCAGCGGTCTTAACAGGCTGCGTTTAGTGGTTTTTTTTTCTTTTTTTTATGTACAAGAAAAATGATTTTTGTTTTTTGTCTGTGTTTATTACTTTTAAAGCGTCTCCCCCCACCCCCAAAAAGTGCATTTTTATCAATTGAATTTTTTAAGTCTCCCACACTTTATTATAAAGACTCTCAAATACAGTCTATGGAATGTCTGCTCTGTGCTGTGCTCTGTACCCCCGGCACCGCCCCACACACCCCTTGCCAGGCCCAGCCCCCCAGTCCAAGGCACCTCATGTCAGCCTGGGCAGGGCAGGGGCACCTGGGCACTGGGGTTCCCATGCAGAGCTCTGGGCAGCCCCGGACCCCTGCCTCCTGGCCCTGCTGCCCCGCAGGCCCCCACTGGACATCTCTGTTTAGTGCAAGCCGCTGAACTCTGAGATTGTGGCCTCGGGGGCTGACGCCCCAGGCCCCTGACCCGTCCTGCGCCAGCCGCCCCCACCTCTGGGAAGGCCGCTTTCTCAGCTTAAATAACTTTTTAAAATAAAACTGCAAATATAAATATCTTTCTTTCTCAAAAAATAGGATTTTTGATTTTTTTGTTTTGTTTTTTTTTTTATTTTTTTTTTAACTTTTTTTTTTGTTTTTTTTTCGTTTTGTTTTGCCTTTCAGTCTGTCTCACCTCCACTAATTCTGGCTGCCTGGTCTGTGTCTGTCCTTGGGGTTAGGGGGTGACCCCTGCTTCGCTCAACCCTACATGGCTACTATGCTCGCCGTGGCCCCTGGGCCAAATAATGCCAAACCTCCCTGGCCACCCACGTGCCTCCGGGAAAGAACTGGGGACCCTCCTCTAGCGCTGGAGGGGCCCCTCAGAAGGAAGCAAAGGGATAACTAGGTGCCGTGGTGACAGAACTTGGTGGCCACGTTGGGGGCCTCCTGGCTGAGCTGACTTTGGTATGCCCTCCGCAGCCTGGCAGGGCACAGGCCCACACCTGTGCCAGGCTGGGCCTTGGTATGCCATTTTACATTCACTGGTTTGAAATTTTTTTTATTTTAATTTTTTAAACTTTTTTTTCCCCTTAATCTCAAAGGCAGGGTGGGGAGGCAAGGAGCGGCATCTGGAGGACGTTTCTCTCTCTCTCTCTCTCTCTCTCTCCCTCTCTCTCTCGGGGCCCCCGCAGGCTGGGGAGCTCCAGGCCGGGGGCTCCAGCCGCGCCTGCCCCGACTCCAGGGACCCCGGCCCGGAGCCCCCGCCCGGGCCTCTCGCGCCCACTCACGCACAGTCACCCAAGCAAGATCAGCATGAGGGTGGAAATGACAATTTCACTTTTTCTTTTTTTTTTTTTTTTGTACCAGGCAGTTAAAAAATAAAAACAAAAACAACAACAACAAAAAAAAAACACAAAACAAAAAAACCCAAACAACCAAACCAAACAAAACAAAAAACCCAAAAACCCTTTCTGCAGCATCCTCCCAAACAAGCCAGCCCGACCCTCCTCAAACACCTGTTCCTGAAACGCGAAAAATTCAGCAGTATCTTTGGCAACACTTTATCACGACCTTAATTTAAAGAATAAAAATAAAATTGATCCACGTCTATATACAGTATGTGATTGCGCAGAGTTGGGGCAGGGCCTGGGCTGGGGGCTTCGGGGGTCCCGGCTCTGGGCCCATGCAGCCACTGCGGCCCCCGGGACGAGCTGGCGGTTAAGGCAGAGTGGACGGGAAGGACAGGCGGAAGCTAGTGCGGAGCTAGGGTGAGGGTTTAGTGCAATCCCCGAGGTTTGTGTACGTGTTGCTGTCAGGCCACGGCCCCCTCTCCTATCCAGAGTCCCCAAGGGCTGTCCCGCAAGTCTGGTGGCTTCCACTGGCCAAGATGACATGTATGATTTGCGAGTTGGTTTTATTGCAAAGAGGGTATGTCGGGGAAAGAGAACTCACCCCTTAGGAGACCTCTCTGGGAGACAGAGCCGAGCTCCCTAGCTGGGGTACTGGGGTTCCGGGCTCAGCCTCCACAGTTACTTCTCCGGAAGAGCTCACCTGGTGACACTGGGGTACGATCAAGGCTGGCACTGCCCAGCCCTGGCCCTTCTGTGGGCCCTAGAAGGGTATCCTGAGACATCTTGGGGGGCTCATAGTCTGGGAAGGAGGGGTGGGAAACAAAATCTCTCCAGTAGAAACAATATCAAAAATGGCCTTCTTAAAAAGCTTCCCTTTAAAAACAAAAGACAGAAGACTTTGTCACAGACAGGGTGTTGGGAGGGCACAGGAGTGGGGGGACACACAGGGACACCCTTCCACACCCACCGGGCCTCCACAGGAAGTGGGGTCTCAGTCCAGCAGAAATCTACTTATAGGGCTCCACACTGGGCTCTGCCTTGGCAGGATGGGGTTGGGGTGGGGCATCCTGGCATCTGGCAGCAACATCACCCCAAACCCAGGCCATGTCCGTGGCCTGTGGCCCGGTATGTGCCGGGCCTTTGGGGGGCCAGGGGTTGGGGGGAAGCAGGTGCCAGTCCCCGGGTTACAGTCAGTGCCTTTGAGTAAAAAGAGGGGGTGCCTGGAAGGGGAGATGCAAGGCCCTGGAGGAGGGGACCCCTGTCCTGAGCCCCCTTGAGGAAGGACTTGGAGGAGGTAACACAGCACTTCCAATATGGCGGCCCCTTGGTGGCCATGCAGGAGGACGGCCATGTTGGAGGGCAGGGGTGGTGCGGACATGGGGCGGGTGGGTTGGTCCGGCTGGTTGAGAGGCCAGTCCTGTCCTGGGCCCATCCCTGAGCTGGGCAAAGAGGAAGAAGGTGCCATGAAAGAGGTGGCCGTCAGGCAGGTGCAAAGACCAAAAAAAAGGGACAGGAGGGGAGGGTGGGACTGACATGGCACCAACTTGGGGGGGGCCCCCAAGGTCCTGCCCTTGGCGCGGGCTCCTGTGGCAGAGGGGCCCCCGAGAGCCCCTCTGGTCCCTTCTGATGGCCTCCTGTCCACCCCCCCTTGGCCTTGGGGAACAGACGTGGATTCTGTTTTGTGGTGGGTTTTTTTTATTATTATTTTGTACAAAAATAAATTGACGTTTAGGAATTTTCTTTTGCTTTCTCTCTCTCTCTCTTGCTTTTTTTTTTTTTGTCTTTTCAACTTTTCATAGAAGTTGGTTACAACTTGTAAACATAGTTTTAAATTAAGAATTAAGATAAAGTACCCGTTCTGTTACAAAGTGCCAAGACTTCTGATGTGGTTGGTTGCGGTCATTTTTTGTTTTGTTTTGTTTTCTTCCTTTCCATTTTGTAAAATCTTTGATTTTTTTTTTTTATTGCTTTTGTGACATTGGACATCTGGACTCTCCTACTCAAATCTCCTGTCCCTGCTTTCCTGAGACCCTGGGTCCCCTCCCATCTTGGCCAGAGTCACCCCACGTGGTCACCTGCTCCTCTAGGAAATATTATATATATATCTATATATATCTATATATAAATTTTTTTAAGGAGGAAAAGAAAAAATCTAAAAAGTGCTTTAAAAAGTCAGGGAAGGGCTCGGGATAAGGGGCAAGACAGAAGCTGTGACTTGACTCTAAACACAGGGGTCTGGGGGGCCTGGGTCAAGGCAAGGATGGGAGGGGGGGCGCCCTGAGGGGTGGCCCTGGGGTCCCACCGATTGTAAGTGCCGTGACGGAAGGTGGCAGGAGGCCCTAGAACCACCCTGGCGCCCCCTGGCCCCCCTCCTTACCCCTGCCCCCCCAAGTCCTGGCCCCTTTCTCCAGGCCTGGAAATAAATAGATTTGTCTCAGCGGCCAGGAGGTGCGGAGGAGCCAGGCCACAGGCAGGGTGGAGGCGGGAGGCCCTGGGGGGATCGGCGGGGAGACCCCCCTTGCTAAGTGCCCTGAGGAAGAAGGGTGGGGGTCAGGGACAGGGGCTGTTTTAACGTCCGCTCAGAGCAGACAGAAATCATGTTTAGGGTCTTGTCTGAAAGACTCATAGAAACCAGCAGGGGAAAGGAAAAGAACCCCCCAGCCCTCGGTCCCCCTCCGTGTCACCATCACCCCAGCCCAGACCTGGGATGAGGCTCCAGAGCCCACACTGGACACCCAGGTTTGGGGTAGGGGTGCTCGGAATCCTTGTGCCCCACAGAGCCCCCCACACCGAGCCCCAAAGCCCCGTCAGTGACATCTGGATGGGGTCAGGGAAGGGGGTACACGGGAGCCAGGGGGAGGGGACCCTGCAGAGGGAGAAAAATGCCAGGAGGGAGAAGAATCGGAGAAAAGCACTATCCTAGATCCGTGACGCTCATATATATATATCTGTATATATATATATATAGATATAGATATCTGTATATAGATAGATTTTCTTTTTTTGTGTTTTTTTGGGGGGTGGGTGGTTAGCTCTCTCTCGCTCTCTCGTTCTCTCTCTGTCTGTCTCGGGTTTCTGTTTTTGGTTTTTAGGCGAGTCCGGCTGTGAAGTTACCGTCGGCGGTGGCCCCGGGGCCACCTCCGCTGTCATCTCCACCAGCGGTGCCCGCTACATTCAAGCGGCCCGAGGAGCCGTCGGGGCTGGTGGCCTCCTCGTCCTCCTCTTGGTCCTTAAAGTGCTTCTCCTGGCCGTTGCGCCGGGCAGTGGCGGCGGCGGCGGCGGTGGCGGCGACATCGGGGGAGCCAGGGGGCGCGGAGGTGGGGGCGCCTGGGGGCGGCACGCCGGGTCCCACCGTGGGGTCGGGGGCCCCTCCCCGGACACGGGGCTTGCGGCCTCGGCGGGAAGGGACCCCGTTGCAACCGTCCTTCTTGAGGTGCCTGTGCAGGTGGTCGGAGCGCACGAAGGTCTTGCAGCAGCTGTCGCACTGGTAGGGCCTCAGGCCGGTGTGCACGCGCATGTGGTTCTTCAGGTCGTAGTTGTGCGCGAAGGCGGCGCCGCACTGCTGGCACAGGTAGGGCTTCTCGCCCGTGTGCTTCCGCATGTGCACCTTCAGCTTGTCCTGCCTGCGGGACGGACGGTGGGACGCACGGTCAGCACCCAGCCTGGGACCCCTGTTGTCCTGGCCACCCAGGGACGCCCCACTTCTGAGGGCAGCGGGAGCCCTGTGTGGGCCCCGGGCAGACGCTACACCTCTCTGAACCACCTTCTCCTTGATGCTCTGGAGGCGAGAACAAGGAGCCTCTGCCATGCATGGGGTAGGATCTGTTCTGCTGACACATCGGTGTTCTACCACTGAGCTACACCCCAGCCCTTTTTCTCCTACTGTTATTTTTGCAGGCATGGTGGTGCACATCTGTAATCTCAGCACTAGGGAGGCTAAGGCGGGAGGACAGAAATTTCACAGTCAGCCTGGGCAACTTCTCAAAGAAACCAACAACAACAAACACCCCCCTCAAAAAAAAAATTGGAAGGCTAGAACCCAGGGCCTCCCACCTACACGCTAGCAAGTCCTCACCATTGACTTACCACCCCAGGCCTTCTTACTGTTTAATTTGGGACAGGATCTTGCTAAATCTGAAAGTTGCCCAGGTTGGGCTCAAATGTGCAACTCTCCTGCTTCAGTCTCCTGAGCTGCTGTGGTGACAGCCATGTGTCCCTGAGCCCTGTTCTGAGTGCTGAAAATACTAGAGGAAACAGAGCAAGCAAAGGCCCTGGCCCTTCGGTACAGCCAGTGACAGATGGGGTGACCAAATATTCTGGTTTTAGCGCTCAAAGTTCTTTTTTTTTGGTCTTTTTGAGACAAGGTCTCGCTATGCAGTTCAGGCTGGCCTTGAGCTCACTTTGTAGCCCAGGCTGGTCTCAAATTCGCGACGACCCTCCTGCCTCAGCCTCTCGAGTGCTGGGATTACAGGCGTGCGCCACTGCGCCTGGCCAGCACTGAAAGTTCTGTAACCCCAAAAACCCTTTAGTCTTGGGGCAAGTGGTCACCTCAACCACTGCGTCCCCACCCCAGGGCAACGGGGCCCTGGCAACCCTCCCCATCCCGGCTGGTTCAACCTGCCCATCCTGGCTGCTTGGCTTGGTGGCCCCAACAGACTTGGATATAGCCTGCTCCAGGGCCTTCGGATGTGCTGTCCACAGACATGTCCTCCAAGTCCTTGCTGCAAGTCCGGGGCCAATGTCACCGCCTTGGCCCCACACTCCATGGCCACCTGACACTTCCTGCCATCTTACCCCATAGGGAACAGCACGGATCAGGCTCAGCCAGAGGCCTTTAGCCCACAAACCTGCTCGCTGTATCAGCCCTGGGGGGACCAAGGCCCAGGCTAGGGTCCGGCCTTCTACAGTGGCCGCTGGTCACACACGGTCCCCAAGCCCTCCAAGCTGAGAGCTGCTGGAATTACTAAAGGCACCCTGGACTAAAGAGTTTTAGCCAGGCACGGTGTGGCACACAGCTATAATCCTAGCATTCGGGAGGCTGAGGCAGGAAGAACTGCTGCCAGTTTGAGGTCAGCCTGGGTTACAGAGTAAGCTCAAAGCCAGCCTGGAAAGTATAGTGAGACCCTGTCTCAAAAAAACAAAAACAAAAACAAAAACAAAAACAACCCAACCTCCCCAAAAGCCTTTAATATGCAAGCTAACATAAAACAGTACAGTAATACTTCTGTATACTGATCAGTGAAACGGATCAATTCAGCTTTACACAATATGACAAAGAACTACTTTTGCCTGTTCTCTTTTTTCCCTTTCATGTGGCTGCTAGAAAATCTGAAGTGATGTAGGTAGGCAGCATCTTGAACTCCTACTGCATGGCACTGCTCTACACTGATGGAGCAGCCTGGGATCCACAGGCCAGGAGCGGCGACCGGGTCTCAGGAGCCCTGCCTGGCACCTGACTCGCCCCCTGCTGCTGACCCCCATGCCTGGCATCAGAGGCGCTCCGAGATTTTCCCTTCCGACACCCAGCAGACACAGTTTCTGTAGTGCAAATGCTGACAAACTCCTATTCAACCCTCAAGGGCTCACTGCACTGCTCTGCCTTTACCATCCCCCAAAGATGCCGTTCCTGCCCTAGGCTCCTGCAGCCCCAGGTCCCTCCTTCTGGCACTGACATCCCTATGTGCTCCAAGCCTTCCAGGGCTCTCTGAAGCTCTCTGCACCCTGACTCCTGCCCTCTCCACAGTGCTGGAGCCCTGCTTGAGCTAACAGAACTTGGTCTACAACAAACTCCTCACTGAACAGCTCTGGGGCATCTGGCTGCTTCCTCTGACTTCAACAAAGCCCTCTGGAAGGGCCTCCGAGGTGCTCGGCCCAGGCCCGAGCCAGACGGCCCAGCGCGGGCTACACTTCCCTCTTGCTGTACGGCGCTCTCCTGGCAGAAGTTGGGCGGCCCAGAGAGGGGAAATGACCTGCCCAGGGCTGCACAGCGGGCCAGGGGCCACACAGAGGCGGGGTGGGGGTGGAGGCAGCGTGTTTCGTCACCCCGAGCCCCGGCCGGGTAATTATAGCCCCGGCTGCCACAGGCCCTGCTTACTCAACGCTCTGCCTAGTGTGACTCAGAGGGGCCCCTGGGCTCCTGGGCCTGCAGGAGGGTGGGGGTGGGAGGCCCCAAAGGGGGCGCAAAGAGGAAGCAAGTGGGGGCCTGAGGAGAAACAGCCCTGCTGAGAGCTCCGTGTGCCTCAGTTTCCCTGACTGGCAGGCGGGATCAGCCCCAGGTTGGGGCTGGGTGGGCGTGGCCAAATTCAGGCTAAATCACAGTGAAACCAGGATGGGCCTGCAGTCCCGGCAGCAGGTGGAGGGCAGGCCAGGCCAGGCCCACTGCACAGCACCCCACGGCCACGCTGTCCCCTTCTGAGCTTACTTACAGGTCACCTGGGGACTCCTACCTGGAAGGGGAGACTCCCAAGACCTCTAGCACCCCAAACTCACACAGCAGACTGTCCGCCACTTGGCTCTGCCCTTTGCCCCCACCTGGCACCCCTGGGTGCTGGAGCCCAACCATGCCTTCCTCGCCCAGCTGCTGGGGAGGGGGTCAAGCCCTGGTTCCTGTCCTGTGGGGTGGGGCCAGGAAGCTGGGACAATGGCCTCTTTCTTCAGCCTTGAGAGGCGTGGCTGGGGAACCCCAGCGCAGCCAGGCTGGGGGCAGGGGGTGACGCTGAGTCACCCAGCCTGGCTGGGTCCCTGCTGCCAGCCCCCCACCCCCACCGGGCTGGCCCGCCCTCGGTCCACATGGGCCAGCCACCCAGCCACCTCTGGACTCCTAAGACCCAATTGGAAACCACTGGCCTGACCTTGAACTCTTCCAGCTCAGGGACCAAGCCCCATGACTCCTGCCTGGGCCCTTCCACCTCCACTGGCTGCAGCCCCAAGCTGAACCGGCCTCAGGGCCTTTGCACAGGCTGCTGCCAGCCCAGAACAATTTTCCCACAGTTCCTTCCAGACTCAACTCAATTCTCTCCACCAGCACTCCCTCCCTTGGTAGCCTACAGGGCTTTGGGCCTGTCTGTCCACTGTTGTGTCCTTCAGTGCTCGGAACAGAGCCCAGCACACAGTGGGTGCTTAAGAAATGCTGACCAGCTGGGCATGGTGGCGCAAGCCTGTAATCCCAGCACTCCGGATGTTGAGGCAGGAGGATCGTTGGGAGTTTGAGACCAGCCTGGGCTACAAAGTGAGCTCAAGGCCAGCCTCAACTGCATAGCAAGACCCTATCTCAAAAAAGACCAAAAAAAAAAAAAAAAAGACCAAAACAGAAAAAATGCCGACCAAACCAGGCATGGTGACACACATCTGTCATCCCAGCACTTTGGGAGGCTGAGGCAGGAGGATCACAGTTCAAACCCAGCCTGGTAAGACCCTGTCTCAAAATAAAAAATAAAGAGCTGAGGATGAAATAAATATATAAATAAATAAACACTGACCAAATGAAGCCAATGACCCCTTCTCAACCAAAATTCTCTATAACAGGGTTTCTCCTCCCATAGCAAAGAAAGCTAAGAATTTCTCCTTCAACACAGGTAACTCTCTGACAACAGAAGGCCGACTCTCCACCCCATCTCTGGTAGGTTCTTCACACCTCTTCACACCTCATACACTGTGGGGGTTTTTTCTGTACTGGGGACCAAATCCAGGCCCTTGCACTGAGTAACATCCTCCTGCCTCAGCCTCCCAGAGTGCTAGGATCATAGGTACACACTACCGTGCCCGGCCATACTGTTTCTGATGTGGTCATTCCTTCCATGCCTGAGCCGTCACTGCCCTTGCCCCTGCCAGGGCGGCCCACTCACGAGGACAAGAACGGTTTGAGAGAGGTGCAGCGGGGACTCCGGGGCTTACCTGGTGAAGCGGACCTTGCAGATGTTACACTCGTAGGGCTTCTCGCCGGTGTGCGTGCGGATGTGGCGCGGCAGCTTGCCAGCGCCCTGGATGACCTTCTCACAGATGGGGCACTTCTGGAAGGCCTTGGCTCGGATCTTCTTCTCACCCTTCTGCGACCACGCTGGGTACACGTCACCCTCGTGGGCGCCGCTGAAGTACTTCAGATAGTAGTCCATGACGCCCTTGTCGTCAGCCCGCGACTCCTCGTCACTGTCCCCGCCCGCCAAGGCCCCCGCCCGGCCCACCGACGACATCATCTGCTGCAGCAGCGTGCTGGCCGCCAGTCCGTCCACATCACCAGCATCCCCGTCCTCGCCCTCCGCGGTGCCTGACAGGAAACCCGGTGAGTCCCCAGGCTCAGGCGCCGCCTCTGAGAGCGAAGCCGCCTCCTCTTCGCCGGCGCGGCCGTAGTGGCCGTTCTGCGTGGCAGCCGGCGGGGCCACAGGTGGCTGGAAGAGGCCGCCTGCAGTGGCAGTGGCCGGAGCATCCTCATCCTGCTCTGGCCACAGACCCGGGTTGCTGTCGCCTTCATCGCCATCACCCGCTGGGGGCCGATCGGCCGGGGGGCCTGGCCCATAGAAGTCCAAGCCATTGCAATCTCCCGCGGCCACAGCAGCCACAGCAGCCGCCACGGCCTCTTTGGTGGCATCTAGGTCATCATCGGACGCCCCGAAGGCAGACCATGGGAAGTTGGCGGCGGCGGCGGCAGGCAGGCTGTTCATAGGGTTGCTCTGGAAGAACTCCAGGTACTCCTTGGCGCGCAGCAGGTTGCGCTGGTCCACCTGGTCCACGAGGTCGAGCTGGCCTGCGTCGCCCCCTGCGTCAGCCGCTAGGATCTGCCGGTCCAGGAGGTCGGCGCACACGTGGCTCACGGCCGGGATCTCAAGCAGGCGTGCGGCGCTGAGGATGTCGCCCACGTTGGCCGTGCTCACCGTCAGCGTGGCGGTGTAGGCGAAGTCCATGAGCGCGGTGAGCGCTTCGGCGCTCACGAAGTCGATCTCGTACACGTTCTGCTGGTCCACCACGGCGCCCGACGTGAACAGCTTCTTGAAGTACTGGCTGCAGGCAGCCAGCACCGAGCGGTGCGTGGGGAACTCGCGGCCCTCCACCAGGATCACCACGTCGCACAGCAGCCCCTGCGTCCGCTGCTCGTTCAGCCCGCTCAGGATGTCACTGCTGTGGTCGGGGAACGGGATCCCGATGGGGCCGTCCACGCCGCCGGCCATCTTCCGCGCCGAGACCTGTGGGGCGTGGAAAGAGGAACACTGTCGGTGAGCATGGTGGTCCTGTGCCCAGGACCCCAGGGAGGGAACAGCTGATCTCACGGCTGGCCTTGGTTTCCCCAGCTGTACACAGTGGCGTTCACACTCCGTTTCCTCCAGCCTCAGTTTACCAGCTGTGCACAAGAATGCTCAAGTGCCTTAATCTTTTTTTTTTTTTTTTTGAGACAGTCTCACTCTGTAGTCCAGGCTGGCCTTGAACTCCAGGCAATCCTCCTGCCTCTGCCTCCTGAGTGCTGGGATTACAGGCGTGCGCCACCACACCCAGCTTTAACCCTAATCCATTTTATCCATGAGATTATGCTGGTGAAACCTACTCTAGCTGCAGACGGAGAGGTGGAAACCCTGGCACCCCTCAATGGGAGGCTCCTGGGAACCCAGGTCATAGGGCACCAGACACCTAAAGGTGTCTGAGGCACACAGCAGGTACCCAAGAAATGTACCAGGCAGGGACAGTCTTGAGGTCCCTCCTCTGAGCTGGGCCTGTCTGTGCCCCTCAAGCCCTGGCACCTTGACTCCCTGGAGGAAGAGAAAATGAACCTTGGAGGGACCCGTCTGTAGCCACCTGGCAAGGGCAGAGCTACACACTACCCAAACTTGGCCCTGGGCACCCAGGCCGGAGACCCGGCTGGGTTCAAGGGCACAGTGGGTGTGTCCCACTGGGACAGGGCAGCTGACAAACCTCTTCCTTCCCGTGAGCCCCCAGGACGGGCTCAGCCTGGCAGTGAGTAATAGGGAAAGCCAGGTCGCACCCAGGCGGTGCCCCCAGGAGGGGCCAGGGCTGAAGGCCTTTTGCCTGCCTCTGCCACTTCAGCTGCACCATCCCGCCTGCAGCGAGGTCCTGTTGCTCCCTGGGCCTCAGTCTCCCCATCTGTCAAATGGGCCCTGGTTCCTGGGGTACAGGGCCCTAGAGGACCATCCAACCCACTCCTCTCCTCCACCTCCTCCTTTCCGCTTTCCCCTGAGCTGTGACTCATCCGCCCACCCAGGCCCTTGTGCAACCTTCTGGCTCCTGTCCCCAGCCCTCCACCCTCTCCAGGGAGCCCCACGCCACCCAAAGCCAACCATGCTCCTCCGGTTCCTCTGGGCTGGGCTGACTTTCGGGCTGGGGGGCCCGGGTCTCTCCCCAGGGACAGGGCTCAAGCCGGGCCTCCTGGGATCCATGGGACCCCTCTGACGGGGGTCTCACCCGGTGGTCCAGTGCCTGCCCACCCCGGCAGCCCTTGGCACAGGGTCTGCTACGGCCACACAGAGGCCTTTGTGCGGCCTGCTCACTGCCGGGGCTCCAGCCCTCCACCCACCCTCCTTCCCGCCGCACCAGCTGCTGGGGCCCCCCCTTCCTCCACCCAGCCGCCCGCAGTGGGGAGGGGCGGCTCAGATGTGGCTGCCAGGAACAGGGGGGCCAGGGCTGGGAGGACCCTGCACGCGCCATGGCCCCGGAAAGCCGCTGAGGAGCCCCCTTTGGTGGCTTCCACCCCCTGCCACCATCTGCCGTCTGGCCCTGCACCTCGGGCCACGTGTGGCCAGATGGGGCTCGGATCAGACAGGCCGACCCCTCTTCGCCAAGGCCCGCCCCACATACCACAGAAGGAACTCTGACCAAGGCCACCAGAGCCCCCAAGATGGCTACCCAGGTCCACTGGGCTGTTCTCCCTCAGGTGACCTGGGGCTCCCAGCTTGGTGTCTCGGGGGGCCTTGGTGTTGGGACCCAAAATGGTCCAAGTGACTCAGCCCTGCCGGTGCCTCCTCCACGGCCCCTGTATGGGGAATGCTGCACCCAGGCCCAGAGACTGCCCCGGCCCTATTTCAAGGGTCCAGATGCCCTGGCTGCGTCTGAAGAGCTGTCTCTCCCTGAGACCCCTGTTCCCCCAAACATCACCCTCTTGGCCCAAGGGCCAGGCCTGGGGAGAGGCGGCCATGGCAGGAAAGCTCCCGCGAGTGTTGTGGTCCCAATGTGACAGGGGAGGAAAACGAAGGCCCAGAGACGGCTAGAATCCAGGCCAGACATCCAGCAAGGCAATCCACCCGGGCTGGGGTCCAGGTGCTGGTTCCCCACCCACCCTGACTGGCGGCTCCTGGCTGGCCCTGCCAGTACCTGGCCCGCCCTCTCTCCAGGAACACAAGGCACCTGCCGGCCACACCCTGTCACCGCCCCCACCTGGGCCTCCTGGGGGGGCCTCTCCCTGTGACAAGGGCCAAGACCCTGCCTGCAGGTACAGGAAGGAAGACCAGTGGGGCCCCCATGGGCTGCAGACCCGCTACGGCGCTGACGGCACCTGACACGCAGTAGCACCCTGGAAGTGGCTGCTGTGTCTCCTTCCTTTGGGAGCCCGGCCCTGCCCTGAGTAGGACCCCTGGGGCTAGACCCTCACCCAGCGCGGACCACAGCCCCACCCCCACGCTGCCTGTGTGGGACTTCCGGGATGACAATGCTGACTCGGCCGTCCCGCAAGGGACAGGCCCCAGCAGGCCCCTCCTGGGCCGTAGGTGGCCACCCCCTTCCCCTGGGCCTGGCTTCCCCAGGTGGCACACAGTAGGGGTGTGGAGAGTGGCTACCAGATGAGGCCAGGCTGGCGGGCATCCCCGGGCTCGCAGGCGGCCCCGTGGCCCCCAGTCCCACTCCTGCCCAACCAGAGGTTACTTGCTGTAACTGCTTTTGAAAGTGGCAGGACGCAGACTTTGCTTCAGCCCCTGTCCCCTGCCCTGGAACTTCTAGGAATTAAACAGGTGCCTTGGACTCACCCTCCCCACAGCCCAGAGAGGCTCAGAGAGGTGCTGAGACCCAGCCAGGGTCATACAGCACACAGGAGGCCAGGGCAGGGTTCAGGTGCTTCCACCGGAGCTGCTCCCCTCTCCCAGCTTCTGGGGACACACAGTGAGGTTGGAGAGCAGCAGGGGTCCTTGGGAAGGACCCCAGAACTGTGGGAAGTTGAGGGGAGCAGGAAAGTGGGAGACCTGCCCCAAGATCCCAGTAAGGTGAGGGCTGGGGCCCAGTCTCCTCCCACCCACAGTCCCCAAGGACAAGGGACACTGGCAAGGCAGCTAGGCAGGTAATTGCCACGCACAGCCTTCCTGGAGGGCACTTCCGGGGTCGGGGACCGCTCAGTGAGGGCTGGACCCTCTACGCTCCAGGGAGGGAGGGAAAAATCGAGAAGAGAAAGGGCCTTGTACACCTACTGGGTGCCACACAGGGCGGCCGGGGTTCAAGTCCGGCTCCTCCTCATGTGCTGTGGGGCCAAACTACAGGCACAATCTCTCTGAGCAGTCGTTTCCTTGGGATCCTAGCAGGGAAAAGAAAAGCGTCCCTGTAGGGCCAGCGCGCACAGTCCTGGTCGTGTCCAGGCAGCAAACCCTGCTGGGGACCTACTATGTGCCTGAGCCAGTCAGCCTGTCCACCGCCCACTCTCCGCGGACAAGAGGAGGACACGATTATGGGACCTGGCTGCTCAGCGTTATTCCAGGAACCCAACCCACTTCCACCTACTATGTGCCAGGCAAGTGGGCAATGCGGAGGAAGGAGGGAAGCGGAGGGTACAGCAGGCCCCAAGGGTGGGCGGCCGGCCCAAGGTCACACGTGCACAAGGCTGGGGCCTGCAGCCTGCCTCCCAGTGCTGGGGACCACCAAGGCCCAGGGTGGCTGTTAGCCACCAGCCAGCCCAACCCCTGCCCGCCTGCCCTGCCAGGCAGCCGGCCTCCCTTGGGCCAGACCTGGAGCAAACAGGGCCCACAGAGCCCTCGGCCATTTTACATGTCCATTTATTGCCCTTAGTGGGGAGGGGCTTCCTGCCCAGGCCTTAAAGGGCCAGAGGCAGGAAGGCGGCCAGCCCAGTGGGAAGTGTGCATTCGCAGGGGCGGGGGTGAGGTCGCGGAGAGTCCGTCCGACCCCGACTCCAGCATGGGGTCAAGGACCACCCTGTTCCCACACTCCAAGTGCCATCATGGGCCAGGAAGCCCAGAACCAGGAGGAGGCTGGGTTCCAAGACAAGGACTCAGCCATCCCCCGAAGGGGCAGAGAGAATGAGCTTCCTGTCCTCAGGGGTAAGCAAAGCCCAGCTCTGCAGAATCCCATCCCTGCCACCCCACCTGCTATTCTAAATGCCCACGAGAGACCACAGGGACCTCAACGGACCTGTTTGTCATCCAGAGCCAGCTGTAGTGCCCCATACCAGGCATGGCCGGTGGAGGCTCGGCCTGGAAGACCAGGAGAAACGGGCTCTGGCGATGTGTAGAACCCGGCTGGAACCCTGTTACACATACCACAATGGGACAGGCCTTGTTTTCCAGTTAGACCAGAAAGGCGTGGGTGGGGACACTTCCACCAAGTGACCGACCACAGCCTGCTGAGGGGACAGATGGAGGGGCTGGCCCTCTGGCCTATCTCCTCACCAGTGCCAGATTCTCCCCACAGGGCACCAGGCCTGGTCACGGTTATGAGCACTGCAGTCCATGCCCACTCTGCTGGTTCCAAGAGGCAGGATCAGAGAGGGGCGGTAACTCCCCCCAGGTCACACAGCAGAGCTGGAATCCGAACACAGGCCACCTAACCAACTCAGCCAGCCTGACTAGTCCTCCCAGATCTCCTGTCCCCCCCCCTAGCACACAGCCCCTAGGTAGCAGCAGGCTATGAGATCCCTCAACCTGAGGCCAGGGGACCAACAATGGCCCAGTAGATGCCCAGGCGCTCGGGGTCCTCGGGACAGGGATGGTGGTGGTGGAAGGGGTGCTCCTCTGAGGCCCAGAGGGCTCAATAGCTGTTCCCAGGGCCTCACAGAAGAGAGTTCCAGAGTGGGCTGAAGACAGTATCCTCCCAGTGTCCCCAGTGGTGTCCCGTTGCACTGACAGAAAAGCTGAGGCTGGCCAAGGGGACATGGTGGCCCTGGATGGGTCCCAGGTGGAGCGGGGCCTGGCCCAGCCTGTTTGGCTGGTCTTTGCCTCCCAAAGCTGCTGCAGGGCAGTTCAGG